TTGTTCGCCGAAAAAATTGTTTTTGCCTTCTTTGGAGTTGGTTCCCCTGGTCCAATCCACTGTTTAGACTGTTCTTTGGTTTCAGGAGTGTAGTGGTGGACCCACGTTTCGTCAACGGTTACGAATCGACGCAAAAATTCGCTTGGATTACGCTTATACAATGACAAATTTGCGGTAGAAATGTTTTTTCGAATCAATTTTTGGTCGACTGTTAGCAAACGCGGCACCCATCTTGCACAGAGCTTTTCCATATGCAAATGTTGGTGCAAAATATGTTGCACACGTTCATATGACATCTTACAGGTCTCAGCTATCTCACGCACTTTCAATCTGCGGTCTCCCAGCACTATTTGATGAATTTTTTCGATCATATCTGGAGTTGTGACCTCAACGGGGCGTCCTGAGCGAGGCCCATCAGAGGTGCTCACACGACCCTTTTTAAACTCGGAAACCCACTGCTTAACGGTTGAATATGACGGGGAGGATGTCCCCAGTGTTGAGTCCATCTCTTTTTTAATTTCCTTCGGCGTTAACCCCTTCAAATAAAAGTATTTGATGACAGCACGATTTTCCTGCTTTTCCATTTTTACGAAAACCACAGAGGCGTCTTGTTCAGCGTGCTGTCAAACCTACACTAGCAAGGAGATCGGGCTGAAACTATAGCTACAAGCTATCCAAGGATGGTACTATAGAATGTCACCTCAAGGTAGGCCTAGTGGCGTCATCTCTTGGTTAGGCCGGAAACTTATCAATCCACCCTCGTATATATATGGGAAGGTGAGAATCAGATAAGGGTGAAATAAGCTCAAAAAGAAGTTACTCAGTTTGTTAGTTTACAGCATGTTGTATTCATTATTTTAGTTAAGCTTAGCTTTAGTTTAGTTTATTTGTTTCTGTAATATATATGTATTTTATTTTATTTATTCAGCATGTATACATATAACCTAGAATTCAAATAAAGCTATTAACTAACCTATTTCTACATTTCACAGTACTAAGAACTAGGTAGTACCTATGATATTCTTGAAAAACGGTTAATTTTACATTAAACTGAACATTCAGAAGTAATTTGGTCATTTCATCTATCTATTTCTTTAAATAATATTTCACAAAGAACCAACTCTACAATCTTTAAGTATGAAAACTTACTTAGTAAAAAGTATTTAATATTATTTAAATATAGTTTAATCAAACAAGTATACGGAAATTTAGTTTTTCCAATTTTAAAAACATTTCTCAAGTGGAATTTTTTGCAGAGATACTAATTGTTACCGAAGTAATATTCGCTACACTTTACAATGCTAGAAGAACTTAAAATTTAATAAAAATACTATGTTCCATTGTATTCACAAGTAGAATGTCGCTTTGCACCCTAAGCACATGTAACCTTTTCGACACTCAACAGAATATTAAACTTTCATATCAATGTACTTGTAGCAGCTCTCTAGTGGAAGCAAGTGAGCTATTGTAACTTTTTGAATTTTTAAACCAAAGAAACCAAGAGCACTTTCTTCTTTCCTTTTTTTATTTTAAAAAATTAACTAAAACGTCCGCTTCCTTACACCAAACTAAAAATAATAGTTTTTGAATTTGAACTTGAAATACATGAAATAGAACGATCAAATGGAAACTTCAAGGCTGCCATCATCATTATGATCATCGTTATCATATCATCGTTGGTCTGATTGGGCACGCACGCTTTCCTATTTTGAGTCAATCATCGCATTTCTCTGCCCCTCTAAACTTTTTGCTTCCAATATGTCTCTAACTAGTCCATCATACCTGAAAAGGTGTCCTACCAACCTATCTCGCCTATTTCTTATTGACTTCCATAGAGTTCTCTGTTCTCATACTCCTTCTAATACCTCCCCATTTCTAACCTTTTCTGCCCACGTTTCATATCCAAACGTAGATTTTTAACAATCCTTTTCAAAAAATACAAACCACTTCGAATTATTTTATTCGATTATGGTAACGTGAGGTTAGCTACGTCGGGATTCATTTCAGCAAGTAGATATCCATATATTTAAGTGGACCTTGTTGAAGCATACGTAATCCTAAAATGTAGCATCGGACTACAGATGGCGTTTACCGCGCCATTTGTAGTATTTTCTAAAACGCGCTGTTAAGACAGCAGGTAAAAGTTTGTCTGTGTTATGTCGGAGGTCGGACCTGTCTGCGACACGCTGATGAGATCCAAAAAGATCGAAATCGCGATCCGCGTCTGGCAGTTAAGACAGAATACAGACCACTTCGAATTATTTATTAATCGATCGCGACCTTAGTTGTGCTATTCTTTTATATCTCTAGTGCTTTTCCATCCTGAGTTATCCGACGCCATAATATCGAAAACCAACGACTTCATCTAGTTTCGTAAATATTACCTCTAAACTGCCAACTGTTAGAAAATTAGACACGTCTTTTTGAATGTGATAAGTAAAGAGTCCAAGAAAAACTTGTGTTTTAACTATGTGAGTACTAATTCAAATGATTTTTATCGAAATCTATGCTCATTACTCGATTTAATAGAATCTATGTCAAAAGTGCTCAGTATCGGAAAAAAGTATCGAGGAGGTACAATCGCATTTATATGATTTAATTGTTATGTGAATTAAGAGTAGTGGGAATGCTGTGAAAAAAGAATAAGCAGTTGCTGCTATTCTAATTCCATTTCGATAAACACAACCTGATGTTCTGTATCGGAGCAATGTGTTTGCACAGCAATTACTGTAACAGTGTGTTACTAGGCTTATGATTCTGGATTAATGTGTTCAACTCGTAGCTCTATCCCTTCGAGTACCCTACACATCGCTTATGATTCTCATGTTGTTTCCGTAAAATCTCAAGGGTAATTATATTAAACCAATGAGCCAATTTTGTTTCGTCTGATGACGTTTCTAATAAGGGAGTCTGGTTATATTAATGAATGATTCAAATAATTGACGCCAGTATAATTTCCACATGACTACGTTCCACCCTATTCAAACATGTAGTAGGTACATATTTAACTCAAAGCAAAGGATTAGTTTGGTAGTTTAAATAAATAAGTCCGTTGAAATAGACGATTCAGTCGTGAAGTTAAATGTCTGAGAACAATGACGAACATTATGAAATGCTTTAATCAATACAATCGCAATATTTGCTCTGTATGGTAGAACTCCCTTTTTAAATTTTACACACTTCATCTATATCATCATCATCATAAGGTCGTCAGTCCTAAGACCGGTTGGACATGCACCTCCACTGTTTCCTATCCTGCGCTAATCTTCGCATTTCCCTAAAGATAGAACAATCTATATCCTTAACTATTTGCGAACAGTAATCTAATCTAGGTCTGCCTGTATCCCTCCTAACTCCCGCTTCTGTCTTTGATATGCCTCTGATCAGACCTTCATGCCTTAGAAGGTGCCCTACCAACCTACCTCGCCTATTTCTTATTGACTTCCATAGAGTCCTCTGTTCTCTTACTCTTTCTAATACCTTTTCATTTCTAACCTTCTCTATCCACGGTTTCCTCATCATTCGTGTGTAACATCACATTTCGAACGCTTTTAATCTTTTCTTTTCCGCCGCTCCTACTATCCATGTTTCGCTCCCGTTCACAGCGCCGTGCTCCAAACATACACCTTTAACAACCTTTTTCGAATTTCTAAATTATCTATAGCGAAATAAGTAAACCACAAGCAATAAAATTGTTGTTTAAATTTTTAAAGGTATCGAGAATCGAGTTAAGCAATTATAAGTTCTATTGGTAGATAAAAAAAACAATTAAAGAAACTCCCCTAATATTAAATGTGCGAAAAGATGAGAACCGACACTAGACAAAGACCATGGGAAAATATTTATTAAGCAAAAAGCAAGATTTATTACCAATAACTGTGGTCTTGCTTTTCTTTTTGCCGAGTTCAAAAATAATTCTTGCGTCGATTTCTTCTTGGAAATAATTACAATAACATAGGATGGAATGGAACATTAATTGATCATTTGACTAATTCTCATATGGAGTTCATCAATAACGATACCATTGGCTATCTACTTATAACCGCAGACTGATCGAATTGCTATTGGATGCGTCTATAAAATTTCTTGAGATCAGCAAGACAAAGATTAATTACATACCATTTTCGCGCTGACGTGATCGATTTTATTGTATAATAGTAAATATACGAACACATAGAAAATCGATACTGTTCTACGAATAAAATGTTTTCCAAAATGCTTCAACAACAGTCATCAGAATATTTAGTAATTCCAATCATGCATTCTAACACCTTTGAAATATCTGCTTTAATTAATAGACCAAAATTGTATTCACAATGCATTTGTATTATTAATGAAGTAAAAATAATAAAACAATTTTATGAATAAATTCTAACGCTAATATTTAAGGGTTGCGTGTAATAAATACCAAACTGTAAATTTAGTACCTACTGTTTCTAGATATACCTATGGATAAGTAGGTCATGCAAAATCAACAGGGTCGTTTTATGGATAGCGTCGTTTTCGGTATCAACATTAAAAGTACATACTAGTTGATATTTGTAGAAAAATAATACGCAGAAAGGACATACTGAAGGAAACTATAAATTTTGCATAAAATTTGGTTTATCCACGCATAAGATTGTCGATCAATAAATTCCCTCACCGCAACTGCACCAAAAGTACTTGATGTGAATACGAATTAAACGAGACAATTGAGTATTTCTGAAGATTCACTTAAATTCTCCGTTTCACACATCTTAAATAATTTAGGAAAACATCCAGATAAATACGGAAAATGTAACTTAGTGCTGTAAGGGTGTACATGGAAGAACATGTCATTAAACTAGGTCAACTCAAAGAGAATTACGAGGAGAGTTGATAGGATCGAAAGATTATGTATAGTACTTCTTTTAGGGCACGCATTAGATATATCAATTTACTGTATTTATCGATAATTTTGGATTAAGTGAATAAGAAGATAGAATGGTTCCGATGTTCCACTGGGCAAGAAATATTACCTCGTGGCACTTCTGGATCGGTGGTGGTGGCCGACTCCAGCAGCCAGCGGTCGTCCTCTCTCTTCCAGCATCGGACTCCCGAGATCTTCGTCTCCAGGCCGATAATACGGCACCGCGGACGGTGCCGCAGGATGGTAGGAGCCGTAGTGCTCCGTGGGGGAGTTATTTCCTGAGCGAGTTTGTCGCAGCGGCTTTCGCCCTCCTAGGGGACTTGCGCCCCCGCCGCCTCCTCCGTAGCCGCTGCGGCTGGGGGACCGATCCACGGTCGGGAGCCTCACGCCCCGACCTGGGGAACGGGCACCCCCCACGTACGGGTCACGGGACATTTCATGTCATGCCTACACGCTACGACTCTCGTCCACCGACGCGCGCGATTCACTACGTATGTCCTACACGACGGCGACTACGACGACGACGACGGATCGCAGTCGGCCACACTACCTCCACTCTAGCTTGTCTCGTACCGTACTCCTCCGTGGTGGATCAGAGGGTTCCCGTTGCCTCTGATCAATGAACGGACTATCGGATACGCGCGCGCACCACACTACTACACAAGCATGCAACTCCTACGCCGCCCCCTCGATCTCTTCTAGGTTGTAACAATTGTTTTTTGTCCAACATGGTAATTTCAGCGTACTCAATTTCGTCCGTAGCCTCTTACTAATTATAAAAAAGGATCATTGATCGGATTTATCAAAGACGATTAAGATAACAACATTAGTTATAAAATTTTATGTTAGTTTTGAAAATTTAACCTTTTTAATTCATAGTCATGTTCGACTATTTGAGTCATTTTACAACTCAATTCGCAACCCTCATCTGGTTTTGCCAAATTGATGCAGTTGGGTAGTTTTAGTCGTCTCTTTCTCTATATCTATTATGTTACAAATACATTATATATTTATCAGTAGATAATGTATCCAATTTCCAGCTATTTACTTGCAGATTTGTATAAACACTTAATTTAGTCAATACAAGTCAGTCTGCACAAGTCATTTGTAAACATTTTCAGCCCAATCAAGTCCTTGTACATTTTTTTATTTAATATTCTTATGTATATAGTAGCTTTTCCAGGCGGCTTCGCTCGCAGAAATTAGTATTGTTTCTCTATAAAACCTTTTAACTCCCAATTCACCCTTGCAACGTTTTATTAATGTCGCCATCTTAGATTTCAAACACAAACGTAGCAACAACATTTCATCCTTAAGGGTTGATTTTTATAAATTGCCAAAACACGTATTTGCTTAATTTCAACAATGAGCAACCCTCGAGTAAATCCGAGTTCAAATAAAATATACTTCATGGAAACGTTGCAACCACTTTTCAATTGAATAATAATAACAAACAGCATATATGCGAAGTTTCAAGTAAATTCAACCACAAATAAAGTATGTCCCAAACAAAAATTACAACACTTTTTACCCCTCCCCCCCTTTGGAGGTTGAATTTTTTAAAAAGTCGAGATAGATCTTTCAGAAATTAAATGAGAGACCATTAAGACCATGTTTCAAGTAAATCTGACCACAAATAAAATAAGTTCCATTTAAATATTGCAACTCCTCTTCACCACTCATCCCCCCAATCGAGATTGAATTTTTTTCACCAGTTTCTAGTAAATCGGTCCAAAAACAAACATGCAATCTTTGCAAACCCCCTTCAGCTTCTTAAAGGGGTAGAATTTTGTAAAATGTTGAAATAGGTATGTATGTCACTATATGAAAAACCATTAAAGCCAAGTTTCAGGTAAACCTGACTATAAATAAAACACCATACTTAACCATAGGCAACATTACGTTTAGCTGTCAGTTGCGTTTTGTTATACCATTTTTAACAAATGAACGGCTAAACTGATGTTTTGACTGATAAATTTTTCGTTTTGCTGTCAGTTACGTTTTGTCATTCCATGTCAGTTGCGTTTTCTTATACCACGTTTTAAAAAGTATCCTATGTCCGTTTCCTGGTTCTAAGGTACCTCCTCCAATTTTCAGCCAAATCGGTTCAGCCGTTTTTGAATTATATATAGTGTAACTAAAAGGACTTTCTTTTATATATATATAGATTCGCATTTTGAATGCAAGTGTTACAAATAAATTACATCTTTGCTAATAACCAATGGTGAGCATTAAAATGTGGACATACTGTACATCATCTTTGCGTTGTATGCTGTACTTTATACTTTTTATACGATAGACACTAATCGTAAACATCAAGAAGCTTGCCAGCAAAGTGAAACAGCATTCAGCCACATTGTATGTCTGTCTGTAGGTACTATAACTGTATGTCCTACTTATTATTATACCACACACGTGTATCGGTTCGGTGTTATTAAATTGTGCGGCGGCAGATTAATATAAAATAAGTAATAAAAAAATCAAGAATTAAAGATAATAATAATAAATAAAAAATAGCACCTGTTACACGTATAATAGCCTCGATCATAGATGTGTATATCAATTTACATTTACGCGTACAGCAACTTCCTTGACATTCACTGTTTAGATTAATTGCAAGGACTAATAAAATAATTTTACACTTAAATGCGGANCTGATACTTTAGTGACAAAAAAAAAACAAAATTCGTCATCATCATTCCATTTGAAAATTAGGATAAAATCAGTTGTTAAAAGTATAAAATATTATGGTAAACTTCATAAATTTTACTGTCAAAATAGGAGTAAAACTTCAAAGACAAAATGCAACTTCACTAATTTTGATAATTACCTACCTAAAGTCTTTATCTAAATATCGGATCACTTATTTACCTACCTTCCGTAATGATTTATTTTTAAATTCGAACACCCAAAGCATTAAAAATGTTATTAACTGAAACGTGATGTTGATGAACAAAAATTAAGTCCTATTCTTATAATGCAGTACTTTGAAATTTTGAGAAAACTTGGTTTATGATTATTGTCCAGTAAATTACTTTAGGGTGCGGATAGGTAACTACATGTACGTACATATATTATGCGAGGCGGTAAGTTTTTTTACGAAGAAATTCAAAACTGTATGTAACCTCTGTATATTCATTAATCTCATTTGAATCAAATGAAATTTAAATTGTTTTATTGTTCTGTTGGTGAATTTAGATACGGTGTAGGTACGCTTAATAGTAAACCATTTTTTTCTACTCAAAAAAGTCTTTTTGCAACCATAACAGAACTTGTAGGAAAATTAGATCAAACTTTAATAATCCTTTCCCTTTGTTAATAAAATATACTGATGTTGAGCTTTATTTTAGTTTCCACAAAGTCAAAAAGTATAACATTTAGTTATGGCACTATATCGCCCTCTACTGATGCCTGCTGTTTACTAAAATATTTCAAATGCTACACGAAGACCTTACTGAAATATCCCCTTATCCTGTTTAATAGACGACGCAGCTCATACACCTGAAATTAATAAACAACATTAAGCTCTTGGTCAGTAATTTACTTCAACTGTCACTTGTTAATCGCGATATCCATCTCATCAGCACGCAGGAGCTCTATTTGGTCGGTAATTTATTGAAACTTCCTAGTGCGTGCTGATGAGACCTAATAATATCGAAATCGCAATCCACGTTTGACACTTAATTTTACGTTTACACCAATATTATTCCCTTGACATTTAAAGATTTAATTATTTTCAGGAGAAAATGCAACTGTTCGCTGTTTGTCTGTACAGGCAATTTTGTGATAAGAACGCTTTAATGCAATGTAGGTATATTACAACTAAACCAAACATTGAAAACAAATTAGGGAACACCTCTTTATTTAGGTACACATGTACAATCTACATAATTGCTCTAATGCGTATGTTCTATCTGTAGATTTTAGTTACTTGTAACTTGCAATAGTATTGTTCTATTTGGTTTTATTTCCTGTATAATGCAGAATCTGGAAAGATTATCCGATATTTTGTAAAAACTGGATGAGCTAGTGTTTCTTGCATTTGTCAGTATATCACATTATTATGTGATGTACCGTATAAATTCATAAATGTTGTAATTTCTTACAAAAGTATGCAGTAATCTTGCGGTATTTATTTTGGTTTGTTCAGTAGCCAATGTATAGATGGCGCAAGATAGTCCCTTTTTTAGATTACCACCACAGTAAAGCATTGGAAAATTTCTTTTTTCAAAATGCAACTAATGAACGACATTTACGCATCGGGGAATTAACAGCAGTAAAATAGATATTTTAGTAGGCTCTTATTTCAATATAAGTTTTATTTTATTCAACGTCGACAATTGATTTTTAAAACATGTGCCATAAATCTTTTGAATGACGTGCTAAAGAGTACAAAATTAAAAATATATTAGAATGAATCACTAAAATAATGTAATATTAATTATAGATTTATTCCCTTATACCCAGAAACTTTCATAAATTGTAATGTATACTTACTGAAATTTTTTGTCATGAGTTATTAATTTCTTAATGTGCTCCACATGTTTAATTATTTATTTATTTTGAGTAGGTTAGGTTAAGTTAAGTTGAACGAATAAAAAATGCAACCTTTTATATACTATTGGATATAACAATAATTATTTACCTACTCCAATTTTTTACATTATGTATAGGTACCTAAATTTCATCATTTTACTTTTGCGTTCTCCACGTCTGTAGATCAAATTTCATCTTAACACGTAGATATACAAATGAATGTATGAAGGGATCTGAGGCCTGTTACATTGTTTTATTTAAACTTTTGGTTAAAATTAAAAATAGAAATGGATTACTAAATCATAAGAAGCGAGTTACAAGTGAACTAAGATGGTGAGACGGATGACCGTTTTCACTCACTCTGATGACATCCCTGACATTCGGGTATCTTACAACTTACGAAGTGATGTGATGTGTGATGCTTACTGAAAAAATTACTGGACCTGTCAGTCACAGTAGTAAATTCCAACTATATGCTTTTGTATATCTTTTGCTTGAAATCTTTCAAATTTATTAGAGTAACCAATTGGCTATTCTAACAGGTATCGATGTTCTCCAGTTCTTATGAGCACACATTTCAATGTTTTCTATTCTGGATGATCTGGTTCAACTAACGCCACCGCCGATGGAGTCATCTACTCTGATTCTTACAAGGCTCTTGGACTGACGAGTTTCGTCTTACGATTTGTTATTACTTTTTCCTGTTAACTGATATTTAAGCCGATTTAGGTCTTGGCGAAGGTCTAATCTAATGAAACCATATCTACTATGTCGGCCCCTAACACCCTACTATACAAGATCGCATTTCTAATTCTAATTTTTACGTTGCATTCCCGTTGGATTGCTGAAGTCTCTCCGGTAGATGTAGTCAAAATCAGTCTTCTTTCCAAAAGATGAATTCGCCATTCTGATACAACATCAGATCGAATGGTAGTATTGGAAGCTCCTGAGTCGATAACCATGTAGATGGATGCTTCTATGAATAATGAATTAGTTTCGTCCAGTTTTGAATTGATAACTTGTTCATGAACTTGGCGAGGAAGAGTCAACTTGAGCACTATAAAGTTACCTGATTTTAGTCTTCTCTGTCGCCTATCTTTGCTGGAAGATCGTCTTCTATTTAAGGGGCACTCTCGACTTCGCTGACCTATTCTTCCACTAGAAGCTTTTCAATGATATGTGATATTGTTCGTGTGCAGAGAAGAAAGAGGGGCCAGCATCGATCTGTTACAACCTAACCACCGTTCAGTCCAAGGGATCTTAGAAAGATAAGAAATTAATCGAAGGCCAGAGAAAAGACAAATCAGATGAAAAAAGTCGGAACCTCAAGACCATCGTAGGCAGTTGTCAACCACCTAAGTCATGCCATAAAAGTTATTGAGGCCAATGGAATTTTCTTACCCTCGACCGCGCTATTTAAAAAAAAATGTGAAAGAAACCAAAAATATTTTATAAGTAGCAAGGGACATTTCAGCGTTAGAAAGACTTTAGGGAAGATACGCAAGCAGCTTTACTGGCTACGAAGTCGAAGCGGCGTGGAAGATTGATGCAAGAAATGTCCGGCATACGTCGTGCCGCCACCAAGGGAATGAAGATGAAATGTTGTGGACATATGAACGAATGTAACAGCAGTATGATTACCAACGACAGCCTACGGTAACAGATACATTTTTTTTCATCTTTATTTAAGAAGGCCACTGAAATAATTGGCATAGTACAGTGTGATGAGTTGGATGAACGATTTGTCACTACTCTTGAGACCAACTTATGAATCTTCATCAACGACAACAAACTGACTAGGACCGATACATACCCCTATTTTTCTTAGCTTATTAATCCATTCATGGAACAATTAAAAGAACATCGGCCAGCATCTTATTTGTGAACAAACTCGGNTGGCTACGAAGTCGAAGCGGCGTGGAAGATTGATTCAAGAAATGTCCGGCATACGTCGTGCCGCCAACAAGGGAATGAAGATGAAATGTTGTGGACGAATGTAACAGCAGTATGATTACCAACGACAGCCTACGGTAACTGATACATTTTTTTTCATCTTTATTCAAGAAGGCCACTGAAATAATTGGCGTAGTACAATGTGTTGAGTTGGAAGAACGATTTGTCACTACTCTTGAGACCAACTTATGAATCATCATCAACGACAACAAACTGGCTAGGACCGATGCATACCCCTATTTTTCTTAGCTTATTAATCCATTCATGGAACAATTAAAAGAACATCGGCCAGCATCTTATTTGTGAACAAACTCGGGCTGTCAGCGGACATGATGTTTGGTCGCCCTGTATATTCTACAGTTTCCACGATTTATAGACGAATACGTGCGCAAATCACAAGAACGACTAGAATCCATTCATAATGCTATGCGTACGAAGCTGCGATTCGAAAGTAACAGCATAAAAAACAGATACGATCGACGAACCGACTGTGCATCGACGATATCAGGAAGTCTTTTCTTTACCATTCTGGTGTATTTAATCCAATATTCGTTACATATTTTTTTTTATACAATTTTAAGATCTTTTCGAACTCTTCATAAAATGAATATTCGTCATTCATTTTTAAACTGATTTATCAAAAACACCTGAAAGCAAATCCAAACTCAATTACCTGTGTCAGCGCTGACAACCATTGTTTTAAATCACGACTGTTGGTAGTATAGAGGGTGCGTTTTTAAGTTCAGTTCAAACGATATTGGAAAAGATGTCATCTGTTTAAGGGCACCCTTGCTCAGGTAAAACCATGGTTTACGAGTGGCATACAATCTTTAAGCAAGGCAGCGCCTCGCTTGAAGACGACTCACGGCCAGGCCGGTCGATCGAGGTGATCACTCCGGAAATCATTCAAAAAGTTGAAAAATTAATACTGGAAGATGCCCGATTGAAGAAGAAACAGCTCTCAGAAATGGTAGGAGTATCAGATACCACCATTTTTAAAATTCTTCACGATCATCTTGGCATGACTAACGTGAGCGCAAAATGGGTGCCGAGAATACTCGCTCGTCTTCAACAACAACAGCGCGTGGAGTATTCTCGCGCGTGTTTGGACCTCTGTAATGAAGATAAAGATGGAGTATTGACTCGAACTGTTACTGTGGACGAAAGTTGGGTTCAGCATTATGAACTTGAGTCCAAACACGACTCTATCGGCTGGTAAAATTATGGAGACAGTCTTTTGGGACACAGAAGGATCCTGTTGATCGATTATAAAGATACAGGTGTCTCCATAACTAGAGAATACTATGCTTCAATCCTAGAGCGTCTGTTGAAAAGAGCCGTGTTGCGACGGATGCTCTGCAGAAAGTGGGCCACCAAATTTTGGCTCACCCACCCTACAGCCCAGACCTAGCCCCCAGCGATTATTATCTATTCCAAAACTTGAAAAAAGTCTTCGAGGGAAGAAATTTTCAAGCGACGAAGAAGTGAATGACGCAGTTTCGGCATATTTTTCAGGCAAAGATAAAACCCTTTTTTTAAGATATACGTAAGTAATTGGAAGATCGGAAAAATGTATAAAGGTAGCAGGTGAATATATTGAAAAGGAAAAGTAAATTTATTGCTTAATTTCCACTTATTACCCCCCCCCCATTTTGCGAACTTAAAAACGCCCCCTCGTATGTCAGCGCCGGTAGAAAACCACCTTACATTTTATTCAGGTAAAACATCACGATCAGATTCCTTTGCTGTTAGTAAGCATACTTCTGTTTCAAGCTGCTTATCAAGAACTTTGAAAATGTTCCCGACGATTCAAATATAAAACGTTGGTAACAGACTACATGTCATGGTTGAAAATCTTAAATTTTCAACTCCACAGTATTGTCTACTGATTTTTTTTTATTTCAAACAAGTCAAGCACAATCTTTTAGTTCTTCTTTTATTTAGTAATACCACATTTGTGCTAAATTAGAGAATAATATTTGATTTTAAGGGAAGCGAATAAATAACAACAGTCAGCGTTTATTAGAAAAATAAATTAAATTAAGCGTACTAACATAAGTTACTAAAATGGTAAACTACATAAGTACATGGCTAAGTCAAGAAATAATAATACTCTGGAATGTCATTGTAAATACTGATGAAATTGTCAAATTATTTACAGAATGTACGGTAAGTAAGTAGCGATTTGTCATAAAAGGTAAAATAAATACATGTAAAATGATCATCACAGTTTGTTGTGTATTATAATAAATGTTCGCACTGGTGCCGATAAATTAATTATTACTTGCAAGTGTATTCATCAGTTCTTTCACTACAAGTGTCACAGTCGACGTAACAACACCAATGAAATTTACACCTGCACTGCCATGTTCGCGTATATTGATGTGTGTTATAACCTCTGCCGCAACACATCAAATCACAACCATCGGTACCTGAAAAGAAAATAATTTTTAAATAATCATATGAAATAGTCGTACAAGAGGCAATAACAAGCCCGAAACTGATTTTTTCATTTCTTCTCTTCTAGATAATGGCCAAAAACTCTCTTATAAGTTTATTATATTATATTTATTATTAAATAATACATAAATTAAACGGTTACTGTCTTGTTCACAATACATTGATTTTGGTCCTAATGGTAAGCGAATACTGAATAAAGCCTGTTAATTGGTATATGTATTGTATTCCGACAATTTTCAGTTAATGCAAAATATGAACTTCTTTTAACTTTTTTCAACCGATAATTTTTATGCTTATATTCCAACTCTTTAAGTTGTTGCCAGTTAACAGCAAATCTAACATATAGGGTGTAATTGAAATAAGTGCGGAGCTTGCAGGAGGTGATAAGGCACTATAAGCCAAAAAATTAAGTAAATGTTTGCATGACCGAAAGCTCATCGTTATTAAGAACGACGTCGATGAAGTACAGGTAAATGCAATTCCGACACTGGTAGAGAAATATGACAATGCAACGCCGCATTCAATCAGCTAGTAATTTTTGCTCATGTACTGTTTGTTATATTAGATTGAGTGTGATTCAACATGTTTATGTTACAGCTACCTGTGGTAGTTGTTTGCTCTTTTAGTATTTAAACATTGTGTTAGGTCAATCGATGTATAGTTAAATAAACTAATTTAGTAATACAATATCAGTTATTGGAGGAGGTCACGACGTCCCTGTAAGACAGTTATTGTTACATTGCTGTAGAATGATACTTATTTACGGGTTTGAACTATACCGCCGCTGTAGAGGACGAATTTCTTGATTTCATTAAAGATAACCCCAAAACAGTATATAAGGAACGTTTGCTGCTCCCTTGTTATAGTGTGTCACATTTTAAAGAAATAGTTACTGCACCCTTATCATTTGCAACGAGTGCCAGCGTTGCTTGAAATTGATTTTCAGACGTGAGTGGATTAGTGTCAGTAATTTCGAATGAAAAGTGCTGCAGAGCCTAATTTTTTTTTGTTTTTTACCGATAAATGTTGCGGAATTTTGAATTTTCACAATAGTCACTTAGATACTTAGTTTGTATAAAGAGCAACAGGCAGTTATAGAGCTGGGGATGCAACGTAGAGAAGTAAATATTAGGAAGGGAGTCAGGCAGGGATGCACACTGTCACCGCTACTTTTTAATCTATACATCGAAGACGCCATCAACATCATTAAAGACAGTACAACTGTAGGGATAGATGTGCAAGGGCAAAAGATTAGTATGCTTAGATTTGCAGATGATATAGCAGTATTAGCATCTAGCAAGGAGGACCTAGAGATAGCTTTAAATAAAATGGAAGCGGTACTGACAGATCAGTACTGTATGAAAATAAATAAAAGTAAAACTAAAATACTGATATGCAAGGGAAGAAAAAGTAGGGAAAGAGCGAATATAAAGATAGGAGACGAAAAATTAGAAGAAGTGGCTGATTTTAGATACCTAGGAAGTCAGATAAGTGAGGATGGAAGGAGTAGTAGGGATATAAAGCAGAGGATAGCGCAGGGTCGTGTCGCCTTTAATAAAAAGAAGTCACTTCTATGCTCGCGAACGGTTAATTTAGAAATTCGAAAAAGGTTGTTAAAGGTGTATGTTTGGAGCACGGCGTTGTACGGGTGCGAAACATGGACAGTGGGAGCGGCGGAAAAGAAAAGGTTAGAAGCGTTCGAAATGTGGTGTTATAGGCGGATGATGAGGATATCGTGGGTAGAAAAGGTTAGAAATGAAGAGGTATTGGAAAGAATAGGAGAACAGAGGACTCTATGGAAGTCAATAAAAAATAGGCGAGATAGGTTGGTAGGACACCTTCTCAGGCATGAAGGTCTAGTCAGAGACATATTAGAGGCAGAAGCAGAAACAGGAGTTAGGAGAGGTAGACCTAGATTAGATTACTCTTCGCAAATAGTTAAGGATGTGGGCTGTTCTAGTTTTAGAGAAATGCGAAGTTTAGCTCAGGATAGGAAAGAGTGGAGGTACGTGTCCAACCAGTCTTAGGACTGATGACCTTATGATGATGACAATAGTCACTATTGGTGTGACACAAATTCTCATGTCGTACATCCTTCGTGATTTCAACAACAGTTTTCGGTAAATATGCGGCGCGGAATTTTTGGAGATTCACTGTTCTGATCTAATTGTGCGTTTAAATGGTGCAGCTTATTTGACCCTTTTACAAGAGAATCTACCGACTGTACTGGAAGACGCACCGTTGCGTTATATTTTTCCAACATGATGGTGCACCCCCTCACATAGCAAGACCAGTGCGTGAGTTTCTTGACTAGTAATTTCCTAGAGGATGAATTGAACGGAGGAGCGTGGTACTTAGACCGGCGCATACCCTGGATATAAATCTGTAGGACTTTTTTTGTACGGGGCTGTATTCAGAACTCTAATGGTCTGCACAATCGTGTGATGATCGCCGCAAATGAAATACGTCAAATGCCTGACGTTTTTGAACGACTAAGGAAATATTTCTGTAAACGTCTCGAGACGTGTATTCCAGCGAGGGATTCTAATTTCGAACAATTTTTGTAGTGAACGTATGTATGTAGATATGTTTAGTAGTGTTGTTCGCAGAACCGATAACTCTTCGATAAATAAGCGGTAAGTTCGCAAGCAAAAATCAGTAAATAATTAATTTGTTCTAGTGGAATGATAGAGCTATTGGCTGACCCCTCACAAAAAAATGTAAAGCGCAATACCTCCATGGAGATGTGAAAGTTTGCCTTAATAAAATTATAATTGTCCAGATGATACCAATTTACCTATTAATGTAATTTATGCAATCTTGTTTTTCTTTCAAGCTTTGAACAAATAATGTACTTATTTAATTCATTTTTATCGTAATAAGCGTCTAAGCATTATTATGTAATAGTAAATTGTATGTTTATCCTGAACATTCGATAACAGGTACAGCTTACATTCTCCATCGATATACCTGCAGAGTTGTGCACGTTTGTGTTGTCAATTTACGGGCAGGACTGTAAATTATTGTTTTTCTTAAGAAATGTCTCTACTTTTAACAACATGCTGAACACATCATGCGATTCTTAATTGCATCTAGTTTACACTCTCTAAACCTCCGCATTTATTTCTGTTACACCCTGTATAACTAGAAAAACGTAGTAAACGCCATCTGTAAAGATTTGCCAGTAATTGTTTTTAACAAGCTTCATTTTAATTAATAAATAATTGACGTATAAATTAACCTACAAAATTATGACACCGTCATAGTCTTTTTGCTGCACGTGTCAAAATCACAAAGATATACCTTCCTGTTTTCTGATTAATGAAATCTTTGTGTACGCTTCATGAAATATGAAATTTTCCCGTTTTTTCTAATCAATAATCTAAAGAACATCTTTCAATTTTTTGCTGATTCATAGATCCAATAAAATCTGTTTGCAAAATGTCTTTATAATTTTGTAATTCAATTCATCAGCAGCCTTATATTTTCACAAAGGAAGTACAACAATTTCGAACGAATTTTATATGAAATATAATTTTCTAGCTTTAGGTCAAGAATTGTTTAATTTTCCCAGAGAAATACCGTTGTTACAAAGGAATGTTAACACTTCAAAGAGCCCACGTAATAATTTAAAGCTCAATTTAGAGGAAGTAAAATTAGCTAAATATTCCGGATTTCCACCAAAGAATGAAAAATGCTTTTCGTTATGTCGATATTCAAAATATAGCCCTCAAATATATACATATATCTACATTTACCAACCGCTTCAGTTTTCTCTAAAACTTAACTTCCTTTTCAACTTTCTGAACTTCTTTAATTTTCCTTTTCATGCTCACATTTATCTACACTGATGAATTAATAGTACAAATCAAGCTTAGTGCAACCGTCATCAGATAATTGCAATGAAGTGAAAAACTTGATGGGTACTATCGAGATCCTTCCATAAAGAGAGTAGCATGCAGAAGGGTAAATACCAGCTTATGGTAAATTGAACTACATTTTAACTGATTATTATGCACTTAATTCTAGTTCCGTATTATTGAAATTTCAATGTGTGGACCAACTAAAATGAGGAGTGTTAAATGTGTTATAATATTCATTTTGAAAATAATTGATTTCTTCGAAGGTAAAAACAATTCTAGATCTATTACTTTTCTTACCTCTAGATGTTCTGTTACAAATTCTTCCAACGGTTCCCAATGAACCCGTGGTAGGATCCCTTTCACAATAGTTGGGTGACATTTGAAGAAAAACCAGATCCACCTTTTTGGGAACCTTCTTTATCGGTATCTTACCCTTTTTAAGAACCAATTGGATCTTTCTTGGCTTTTTCGGAAAAAAGTTGTCAATATCTCGCAAACCTGGAGAGGCGGGACTCGAACTAACTGGACGGGCTCTGTAATATTTCTTCATGAGAATGTCACCTATACGTCGAAATGGAGGCAAACTTTTCCAACAGGTTTTCATAGTACAACTGCCTGATACCCCGTGACATTTGCAGTCCTTTACCAAGTTCCCGTGCAGGACCTAAAACAAATTCGCTTTTTAAAAAGTGCGACTAGGTATTAACTACTGTTAGCTTGAAAGGGCGAAATAGACCATGCTTATTTGTTAAGTTTATCATGACTTAAATTTTGATAAAAAGAAAATAGAATCGTCATCCTTATACGTTATATACGTATGTTGGTCTTGGTGGTTACTTTCCAAGTGTCAGCCCAATCAGAGAATAATGGAGGTTAAATGTATAGGAATAGTTCAATGTATAGGAATAGGATTTTCAAAAGACAGTTTATTAAATATGCTTTACTTATTTTTGATTTTTATTATTACTTTGACTTTATTTTGCTGCTGACATGTCGAGAAACATAACGAGCTTATACATATGTGTGGCATAGGTCTTATTCATAGTAAATCAAAATCTGCTGTTCAAGTAAATTTTTCCCTTGCTTTCCTTCACCTCATTTTAAGAATAAGAAGCAGTACAGTCCAATTAATTAAAGTTCGTAAAATACATGGATTAATAGGAATAACCTATTATTCTTCTTAATCGATTAACAGGAATAATGGATTAATCGGAATAATGATTCATTATAGTAATTGATTAATGGGAATTAACGATTATAATTCCTACTATTATCGTCACTTCATGTTTTTCACCCGTTAATCTAACTTGTCTCCTTTAGACATATCACTATCTTCTTCCTCGCTCGCACACGTGCTTTTATGTGCCCTTCTTCCTTCTTTGCTATTTGAGAAAGCTTGTTTATCAAAAGACAAACTAGGGCTGAACAAAATTATTCGATTAATCTATTAATAATCAGTTATTAAAAATAATCGATTAATCGGAGTAATTAATCAGCAATAAAATATTTCGATTAATCGACTATTACGACTAATGGATTAATTAAAATGAATTATTTTCTTACATTCAACAATAGATTTTTTGTGTAATAATCGCCCAGCTCTAGTAACTACCTGATATGAACTGAGGCATCATTTTCCCAAGATCTTAGAGCTCAGTGGCCTTTGATTAAGCTTATTCTGAAATTTTGTCCTTTAAATATAGCGNAGTGTCAGCCCAATCAGAGAATAATGGAGGTTAAATGTATAGGAATAGTTCAATGTATAGGAATAGGATTTTCAAAAGACAGTTTATTAAATATGCTTTACTTATTTTTGATTTTTATTATTACTTTGACTTTATTTTGCTGCTGACATGTCGAGAAACATAACGAGCTTATACATATGTGTGGCATAGGTCTTATTCATAGTAAATCAAAATCTGCTGTTCAAGTAAATTTTTCCCTTGCTTTCCTTCACCTCATTTTAAGAATAAGAAGCAGTACAGTCCAATTAATTAAAGTTCGTAAAATACATGGATTAATAGGAATAACCTATTATTCTTCTTAATCGATTAACAGGAATAATGGATTAATCGGAATTAATGGGAATTAACGATTATAATTCCTACTATTATCGTCACTTGGTTTTTTTCATCCGTTGATCTAACTTGTCTCCTCTGTATATGTCACTAATAGCTTCTTCCTTGTAAGCACACACGTGCTTTTTTTTGCCCTTCTTCTTTCTTTACTATTTGAATGAATTAACCAAAATGGATAGTTTTCTTACATTCAACAATAGATTTTTGTTGAATAATCGCCCTGTTCTAGTAACTACCTGATATTGACATTTTTGTTTTTGATCAGATTTACACGAAACTTGATATTTATGCTCATTAGCATAAAATCAAACACCTATTTCAGCATTTTAAAAAAATCGCGGACACGTGTTTCGCCCATATAAAATTATTTGTGGTAATTAGGGGTGAGTATTCCTTTTAATTTTTAATTAAATGATAAGTTGATTATTACACTCTTTCAGTTATAGCATATGATTGTAGTAGTCATAGTCAATCTCATAAGAGTTTCAATATGTGGGGCCTGCAAAGTTAATGCTCATTTCATAAACCTATTCACGGCACCACCCTGTATTTTTTAAATATCTGGTAGGTACGTGTATGCATATGCTCGTGACCGGGATCAGGTTAGCGATGTGCGTTTTTTCGCAAGTCTCCCATCTCAGCTAATTGACAGGCTGAGTGATGGAGCGGCCTCCTGCGATTGTTAACCCACTCGTTGAATAACATTTGAATGCGCGCGTTCGCACACAATGGAGCAGAATTTACGGACCAAGAGGCCAAAAAAATCTTTGGAATAAGGTCCCGTTGGCTACCCGCTCTGTTATTATGATAATCATATCGTTCTTCTCTCTTAAACGTTCTTGCTTGGATCACTACAAGAACCAGTTGAATTTGTAAGAAAATTTCCTGGTATCAAGAAATTTTCGTTCTTTTATTCCCTGAAGATTTTAATAAAATCTTGCATTTAAATTATTTAATGGTTTACAGTGCGATTCGGAGAACTGCCTAAATGTTGGGGTAAAAGTAGTTCCTCAAACATATAGAGAAATTATGTAACGATTATGATGTTAATTCGGGTTTCTCTATATTTCTGTGAAAGTGAAAACCCAGTTTGGATCCTAAAAAAAGTACCGAATCCGCTGGGTACTGGATAATGACACCGGAGTAAAAAGAAAAAGTCAACACCAGCAATAAAAATTTAATAAGTGTTATAAAAACGTACCTAATGAAAATTGGTAATTAAGATTGCATTGGGGAAGATAGTTTGTCCTAATTTATATTATTTATTGTTAGCTACACTAAATTATTTGTTATGTATATTAGTATGATCGAACTGTTACAATTTCTGTCACTTGTTGGTATATCAGATTTTGATTAACGATAACTTATCGGCATGATTTTGTCACATTTTAGACTTTTAGTGTTTATAAATATTATAAGCCTGTTTCAACGGTTCCAACTCAACTCCTTCGTGGTTTGGGACGTTGTTGGGGTAGTATTAAATGGAAAGCCCACCAGAACGAAGACATGAACCATCAATCGTACTGGTTTTGCCAGGTACCTACCGGATAACCGGGTAAAATCACTATCTGCTGCATGTATAATAGGTAGGTACATTCCTGGTCAAAATCGACCTCTAAGGCATTAAGATAATAGTGCATGAGGAGCTGAGCTTTTTCTGTGACTCTAAAATCTACCGCCCCTAGACCTATGCTTATACGACCTTTTGGCAAATTCAGCACTGACTAATGCACATCGCGTCCAGCCTTTAAAGAGTAATTTTACGGAGCATCTTCATGGCTCTTTGACATTTGCATATACCCCGTGAAGTTTCCAAGCCTATAACGGGAATAAATTCAATGCAACAATTAGTACTTGTCGAAAATGCACCTTTGATTTGACAAAAAAGGCTAGCTAAGTAATAATCAATCAAATGAAACGCAAGTTCATAAATATATGGATTACTTACGTAACCAAACATAGAGAATGAGTAAATTAAGAAAAAATTACATCTTATTTGCCCACATCCGCTCGCTTGCAGTCGGGACACTAACATTCCTCACTATCCTCTAATTGCGTTACAACAGTTCACCCTAACAGGGTATATGTACAATCACGGTGTGATAGAAATAAGTGTCCAGCTTTGGAAGATATAAATTATATGCAATAAACAATCGCATGGTGAATTCAGCAACGTTGTTGTTGTTATTAAAGGCAACAAATTTTTTAAGAAAATCGCAATAATTTACAATCCGAAGCCGATCCTGTGCGTGAATTGGCAACATAGATGTCTACCAAAAGCATAGTGCAAGAAAAGCTCTGCAGTTAGTATCAAACGCTTAATATAAACAATTTAGTACTACACATAATGTTGAGACTAACGATAAATAAATTAAATAAGTACATTACAGGTAGCACTATATAAATGTGCGAACATAAAAGAAAGAAAAAAAATAAGCATAAACATTAGTCGGTAAATGAGCATCATCTGGATAATAGTAATTTTATTAAAGCAAATTTCCACACTACCGCTGAGGTATTCTCAAGATAAAATACTTTTTTCTGCAGGTGAAACATTTCGCACCACACCGTTATCGAAAACAGTCGCAGACATCGTGTAGGATGTACGATATACGAATTTGCGTGGTTGCGATTATTATAAAAATTTAAAATTCCGTCTCGCGTGAAGCAAATTTGTCTGTAAACCACAACCTTATATAGAAAAAATGAGGCGATGCAGTACTTTCTTCCGAAACCGACAAAAATCCACTCGAGGTTGAAAACCAGTTTTAAATATAGCTTGCACTCGCTGCGAATGATAAGGATACAGCAACTGTATCTTCAAAATTTGTCACATTACTGTCACACAAATGGAGTCAACGTTATCTGCTATTTAGCGTGTTTTATTTTGGAAGATCGTCTTCTTTGAAATCGAATATTTCGACTCTGCTACAGCGATATGATTCAAACCCGTAAAAAGGTATAATGTCCATTTTTATAACAACCACTGTTCTACAGTGACTAACCTGCACTCTGGCTTTACAAATGTTCTGACCACTAAACTACAACAGGTAACTAACAATGTCATAGGATTTCATATATTTAATATACATATAAATAAGTTAATAAAAATCGACGGATCGTTAACCTTGTAGGTCTGTTGGTCGTGGTTACTGTGCTGGTGTGTAAAGTCAAAGGTCCCGGGTTCGATTTCCGGCGGGGGTGTGACAACAGCAACAATTTTTCCCTCATTAATTTGAGGTAGTTTGTAGTGGTAAATAAAAAATCGAAAAAATGATTTCAAATTAATATTGCTAATGATTGATGTTGTGTTGTTGAATTAGTTTATTAAACTACACACCGATTACCTCATACAAAGTTTAAACGCTAAAAGAATAAACGACTACTAGAGTTTGGCTGTTAGCATAAATACCCTGTCACACTTAATCTAACAAATAAACAATACATGAACAAAAAATTCAAAGTAAATAATACACTTATGCTGGTAGTCACCAGGTGATTGAGTGCAACGTTGCGCTCCGTATTTCTATACCAGGGCCGGAATTGAATTTATCTGTACTTTTAGCTACAATTTCCTAGAGAATAATGAGTTCTCGGACATACAAATATTTCTAGGAAAGATATTTCACTAACTAAACGACATGGATAATACGTACCATTAATATAGGTTCTGTTACTTTATACATACACCTGTATGGTTTAGAGCTTTCTTATATTCTAGCAAAAAAAAATATTGCAAGTATACCAATTTGTCAGAGGTCGTATCTCGCAAATCGTGCGTATATTTGTACTTTTATTCATCTGAACTGATATACCTACACAAAAATTGTGTTCTTAAAATAATAACAAGACATTGCTACTGCGAATACCTATCTATCAGATTTTGATTAACGATAACTTATCGGCATGATTTTGTCACATTTTAGACTTTTAGTGTTTATAAATATTATAAGCCTGTTTCAACGGTTCCAACTCAACTCCTTCGTGGTTTGGGACGTTGTTGGGGTAGTATTAAATGGAAAGCCCACCAGAACGAAGACATGAACCATCAATCGTACTGGTTTTGCCAGGTACCTACCGGATAACCGGGTAAAATCACTATCTGCTGCATGTATAATAGGTAGGTACATTCCTGGTCAAAATCGACCTCTAAGGCATTAAGATAATAGTGCATGAGGAGCTGAGCTTTTTCTGTGACTCTAAAATCTACCGCCCCTAGACCTATGCTTATATGACCTTTTGGCAAATTCAGCACTGACTAATGCACATCGCGTCCAGCCTTTAAAGAGTAATTTTACGGAGCATCTTCATGGCTCTTTGACATTTGCATATACCCCGTGAAGTTTCCAAGCCTATAACGGGAATAAATTCAATGCAACAATTAGTACTTGTCGAAAATGCACCTTTGATTTGANAAACAGTATTGTATGAAAATAAATAAAAGTAAAATAAAAATAGTGGTATGCAAGGGAAGGAAAAGTAGAGAAAAATCGAATATAAAGATAGGAGAAGAAGTGGCCGATTTTAGGTATCTAGGAAGTCAGATAAGTAAGGACGGAAGCAGTGGTAGGAATATAAAGTAGAGGATAGCGCAGAATTGAGTCGCCTTCAATAAAAAGAAGTCACTTCTATGCTCACGAACGGTTAATTTAAAAAGAAAGGTTAGAAGCGTTCGAAATGTAGTGTTAGATGCGAATGATGAGAATACTGCGGATAGAGAAGGTTATCAAAGAAAAAATAGTTGAGGTCTCTTTGGAAGTCAATAAAAAATAGGCGAGATAAGTTAGTAGGACACCTTCTCAGCCATGAAGGTCTAATCAGAGACATATTAAGAAGCAGAAACGGAAGTTAGAAAGGGTAGAGGTAGACTTAGATTAGGATAAGGATATAGGTTGTTCTGCTTGTAGGGAAATGCGAAGATTAGGTCAAGATAGGAAAGAGTGGAGATGTGTGTCCAATCAGTCTAGGACTGGCGACCTTATGATGATGAATGTATTAAAGAAAACTAGCAGAAATATTCGAAAAATTGAAACAACCTAACGCCTGATGATTGAATATGTATGTGCTGTTCTGTATGGGGGAGGATTTAGAAGCGTAAATAAATTTAATCAAACGTCTTTAAATTGGTTACTGTAGTATTTATAAGTCCTAGTATCTATATGGTAGACGAATTTGAAATGTTTCTGTATATTGTGTAATTTATGATATTTAATAAAAGCTTATTTCAATAAGTAATTATTTAATAATAATAAGCAACAAGCAGAATAACGTCATCTAGTTATATTTACTGCAAATAATAGTAACTTAATGTTCTTTATTAAGTAATTATTTAATAGCAACGTCACCTTTCGACCTGCTCTGTTATTATGCAAATTCATTAAGCTTCTCTCGTCACCCTCGAGTTCTCTTGCATCTAGGAATTTTCTTGCAAAGCGTGTCCCATACTCAATATCGACGCTGCAGCCAGCCCATTTCCAACCTGGAGTGGATGGCTCTTTCGATTTGACCGCTGGAGCACAGCCACAGGTTGAAATGTTGCCCCTAGCACACGCTGCAGTGACAGAATAGGAAACACCCGCGCTGGAAATAGCGTAAGCAAACGCTGCTTCTCGAGATCCTACAACAAAACAAGAAATGTATGTAGACTATTTCCATTATTTACAATTTCTTCTTAACATTTAAGATAAATATTTAGGTAAGTTATGTTATAAAAACCTTGTACGTTTTACAATTTCATTTAATGTAATTCTAGGTACTTATATGAGGTCTGTTGAAAACGTATCGCGAATTTTGAATTTCCGTGGGTTACGTATATTATATTTTTGATTTTTTGTGGCGTTATGTTGGTACTCATATCTCACTTATACCCATAAGTTCGGCCATGTTGAATATTCAGTTAATTTTTGATAACTGCTTTGTTTGTACGTGTTTTGGCTCTTCTTCAATTGTTTCCTATTTCAAAAAATGGATCAAAGTATCTGTATCAAATTTTGTGTGAAAAAACCAATTCAGTACGCGGACGCATTCCTAATGTTTAGTGTGGCATATGGTGAAGCTACTTTGGACAGAAGCAACGTTTATCGGTGGTACAAAATGTTCGTAGAGGACCGACGAAGAGCGTGTCGGACGCCCGAGCACGTCAACGAAAAAAGCGCGCCAAGTTAGGTGGAATATGAAGATTTTGTTTAGAGTTTTCTTTGGTTACAGGAGCGTGATGCATCATGAGTTCTTGCCACAAGGTAGAACGGTCAATAAGGAATATCCAGCAAGTTATGCGCAATTTGCTAGAAGCAATCCGTCAGAAACGCTCGAATTTGTGGAAGAACGAAAATTGGATTTTGCACTATGATAACGGAACTAGGTGTAGGTAGTNAGACCTTCATGCCTGAGAAGGTGTCCTACCAACCTATCTCGCCTATTTTTTATTGACTTCCATAGAGTCCTCTGTTCTCCTATTCTTTCTAATACCTCTTCATTTCTAACTCAGAAAAAAAAGAAAGAATTCATTATATGAATATCGGTTGCGGTAATTTATTAGAAATCTCTTTAGTAAAATTTTCATTTTGTAAAAATAAAAAGAAAAACATACTTTTATTAGGTCAACTTCACAGAGGATTGTATGTAAGTATGCATTTTCGAGGTCCTTAAAATATATTCCTCCTAATACATGCTTCAAAAACAATAAAAGATCCAGTGCTAAAACCAACCCTCAGCGTAAGTTTAATATTAACATCAAAAATGATTTAAAAATGTGCGGCTATGACTTAAAGGGACCGATTTTTGGGAATGCAGTTTATTTATAAAAAATAAAGGACCACTGTTTCATGGCATAGCTATATTTTGGTCTAATTTTTTGTATGAAACGTTCAATGAGTCACCATTTCATATTCAATATTTTATGTCCAGCGCATGCACCATTTGTATAAAATATGTATTATCTTCTTGTAGTAGGTAAAATTAATGTGTATATTATCTCCAAAAATACGCTGAAAAGTAAATTTTTGTCATTTCCTATTTCAGTACCTAATAATCTTATTTTTAATTCGTACAAAACCTACTACTGAATGTTCTTGGCCCTTCCTTCTTCGATGCTGGAGATGGAAGGACCACTGAAGAAGTTCGCCACTCGTACCAGCGAAACTTTGGGAGGCAACTCCAATCGACGACTCTCTTTTAAACGGGAATCAGAACAGATTCAGTTCATGTATTGACCACAACTCGTCAATTCAACGAAAATGATTTTCAATATGCAAATCAACATAGAATCGATGCTGTGTTATAGGTAATAGGCTTGCTATGGAAGATTTTCTACAGTATTTATTATTAAAGGAAGAATTTGCAGATGAAAAACGTATCCTGATGCTGGAGCTAATGAAAAACGAGGAAGCGGATATTTTTGAAACAAGAAGAACTGAAGAAGCTGTTGAAATAATACTTAAGAGACTTGTATATTCTTGTAATTTATACATCATATACAGGAGGGTTTTCCTGAGTAGTTCTATTGATTTCTTTTTTAGGTGATAACTTTTTTTGTCCATATTCAAGCTAGAATAATGTCCACGCCTTAAAAATTACAGATAAGAACTGATGAGAAATGACAGTGAAATTACGTTGAAGTCAAACTTATTCAATTACATTGTTGACGCAACGGTTTGAAAATGCAGTGTAAAATACAGCTAAATTAGTAAACGCATTCCATCGACCAATTTCGTTGTTGTAATATCAAGAACTGAGTTAATGTGAACTTCTTTTCGGGGTTATGGACAGTCGTCTTGAAGGATTTCGGTTCCTCGTTGTTTCGCTTACACGCATAATTAACATCTTCAGAAATTTGTCTGATAAAAGTGGCCTAAAAATCCGAACAGAAAAATTTCACTTCCAAAATATTTTTTGGCATAACATATCACTATACAGGGTGTTTCTAAAATAAATAGCAAGCTTGCAATAGGTGATAGGACACTATGAAACAAAGAAATTGAGTAAATGTTTGGTGGTCCAAAAGTCCACCATTTTCGAGAAAAGCGTGTGTGAAAGTACAAGCAAATACCAATCCGGTCCTGATAGGATCACCCCAATAGTTCAACGCCGCATTCGATCAGTTGATCACCAGCAGCATCCGTGTTGCATTTGTTTTGAATTTTTATACTCATGCATTGTTTCATAATTTGTTGGATTAGATTACGTGTGATTACGATGTTAATATTACAACCTGTCTACAGCAGCTCTTTATTCTTTTGATGTTGTAAACGTGTATGTATGTATTCAGTCGAATTGGTAGTAGGTAGGTAGGTCAATGTGTCATTGGCATAGGTCAGTAACAATAGTAGTTGTTACATTCCGGCAGAATTTTGTGACATGATCGAATCGATCATCGATACCTAAACGAAGACTTCCTTATCGGCAAACTATCTTAAATGCGGTACAGAGATTAAGTGATACCGGTAATGTGCATCCTACATGTGAAGGCGGTGGACGTCGACGCCCTAATCATATCGCCTCTGTAGAAATTCTTGATAAAAAAAGGTAACGCACCTTACCAATACCTCAATGGTGGTGTGGAAATTTGCGTTAAAATTAATGAAATTGCAATTATTTATCCATAGGATATTAATTACCCTATTGATGTTTACGTATCATTAATTTTCTGGGGTGTTCTTAATACCATGTGGAGGTGTTTTTTAAATAATGCTGCATATTATCAGTTGTTATTTAATTAATGTTTATCATAATTAACGCCTAAAAACATTATGTGTATCAGCATAGCAGTAAGCTGTTGATATTTACCTAATTAGCCGTTGTATGTTTGCTATCTCCATCGATGTAACTGCTTAATTGTTATTGTAATTCTTTGTACTAATACTTGTGTTGCCAATTCACGCCCAGGGCCGGCTTGAGATTGCAATTTGTTTTATTTTCTTTACAATGATTTTTGTTTTTGACAGGCTTCTTTACTAAATGTTTGCTATCTCCATCGATGTAGCTGCTTAATTGTTATGGCAATTCTTTGTGTTGCCAATTCACGCCAAAGGCCGACTCGAGATTGCAATTTATTTTATTTTCTTTAGAATTTTTTTTGTTCTTGACACACTTCTTTACTCACCATGTAATTCCCTGTTCACACACCCTCAAAAGCTTGCCACTTATTTCAGAAACACTCTGTACATACTTTTATATTTTATAGACAAATATTAAAAATTTCAACATATGTATAATGAAAGTAATTTTTAATGAAATAATTAACATTTTATTGGCTTTAAAGACAACCTCTTGATTTTTTATTGGTTGCGTTAGGTATTTTCCGCCTGCAATAAAATTATTTATTCTCGTTAACATATCAAAAGTCGTTTTTCACCTTCCTTACAGGTGTAGTAGTACGTGTAGGTTGTAGTTATGGTGAAATACGATCGTATTAATATTAATCAGGGTTATACAATTAAAATTTAACAAATGACCATTTTATGAGAAAATAATTTGAGTTGTGTAACTGGGAAGAATGAGCGTTGGAAGTATAAAAAATAACTCGAGTGTTAAATGATACCTACTTCTATCCACTAATAAGCACCGGGAATGGTTTGGCTTATTGACTTTTATAAATTTGTAGCGGTCTTTCATGTTGAAAGATGTACTTTATGGGCGCTTGTTATTACTCTGATAAATTTTCATTAGGAAATTTTAACGGTGGGACAAGACGATTGTAACACCGGATACAGCATTTCATCGCAACATAAAACCTTTTATAAAATTATCTAATCGAACTATGAAAAATTGAAACAATTCTCGACTACAGTAATTAACAACGATTACATTATAGAACATTTTTACTACAAAAATCGCACACAATTATTGAAATTCAGGAATACCTCATCATCATCATCACACGTACCTCCACTCTTTCCTATCCTAAACTAAACTTGGCATTGCCCTAAAACTAAAACCCACATCCTTAACTATTTGCGAACAGTAATCTAACCTAAGTCTACCTCTACCCCTCCTTATTCCTGTTTCTGCCTCTAATATGTCTCTGACTAAACCTTCATGTCTGAGAAGGTGTCCTACCAATCTATCTCGCCTATTTCTTATTGACTTCCATAGAGTTCTCTGTTCTCCTATTCTTTTTAATACCTCTTCATTTCTAACCGTTTCTACCCACGTTACCCTCATCATTCGCCTATAACACCACATTCCGAAAGCTTCTGACCTTTTCCTTTCCACAGTGGGCGCTGTCCATGTTTCGCACCCGTACAACGCCGTGCTCCAAACATACACATTTAACAACCTTTTTCGGATTTTTAAATTAACCGTTCGCGAACACAGAAGTGACTTCTTTTTATTAAAGGCGACACGACCCTGCGCTATCCTCTGCTTTATATCCCTACTACTCCTTCCGTCCTAACTTGGCATGAAACAGACCATATAAAAATAGTAATTGTTCTATTCCTTGGAAATAGCATTTTTTCTGGATAAGAGGTACCCTTAAGTACGTATCTACGAAATTTCATGATGATCGAGTAGTTAAGGAGTAAAATCAGCCACATGAAAATAATTTTTCACTGGGGAACATTATTTTTTCTGGATAGAAGGTACCCTATGTGCTTTTCTGTGCCCCTCACAATGTGT